ATCCTGAATCCCAAGAGTTAGATGCTTAAGGGACTGAGCGACCCAGGTGCCCCAGTCCCATTTTATCAAAAGTAATCAGCATACACCAGTTTTATTTTCTGTTTTTCTCCAGTCTGTGTTGATATTTTAATCGGCGTGGTGAATCTATTTACATAAATGTAAATTGTAATTACTGATTACCAATAGTTGGACGCTTAACCGACTGAGCCATCCGGGGGCCCCATTTTCTTTTTTTTTTTTTTTAATTTGAGGTTTTATTTTTAAGTAATCTCTACATCTAGTGTGGGGCTCAAACTTATAACCCTGAGATTCAGAGTCACATATTCCACCAACTGAGCCAGCAAGGTGCCCCAATGAGCCAGTTTTCTACATTAACTAATCCTTGAAAACTTTGAGAATTAAAGTTAATGTCCCATTTTATAGGCAAGGAAATGGACTGATGCTGTGTGACTTTCCCAAGGTTGTACAACTAGTATGTGGTAGAGATGGGATGTAAATAGGAACTTGCCTGGCTCCAAAGCATTTCTTTTTTCCATCTCTCTGTGGGTCTTATAATGTTCCCATTACTGAAGCACTGTCGGTTTCTGTAATAGTATCTTGTTATGTGGCATTAAAGTATTCAGAACCACCAACAGAAAAAAGCTCAAGTCTAACATATTGCTATTTATTGTTTTGTGTCATCTTTTCTTTGTTCTTCTATTCCTCCTTTCTTGCTTTGGTAAAATATTAATCAAATAAGGGCACCTGTGTGGCTGAGTGGTGGAGAGTCTGCCTTTGGCTCAGGTCATGATCCTGAAGTCCTGGGATCAAGTCCTGCATCAGGCTCCCTGCATGGAGCCTGCTTCTCCCTCTGCCTGTGCCTGTGCCTCTCTCTCTCTCTCTCTCTCTCTCTCTCTCTCTCATTCTCATGATTAAATTAAATAAAATCTTTAAAAATATATACATTAATCAAATATTCTTTACTACCTCACTATATCATTTGCATAGGTTATTTATCTCCTAATATTAAGGTTTTATAATAAGCATACTCAAATTATTATAGTCTACCCTTAATCAATACTTTCACTACATTCTAGGCTATGTAAACATTAAAACAGTTTAATTTCATTTGTTATCGCTTGACATTTTTATTATTATTTATTTTATTTTACTTATTCCTGAATTTTTTGCAAGCTCTTTAAGACATTGTTATTGGGCAGCCTGGGTGGCTCAGCAGTTTAGCGGCCCCTTCAGCCTGGGGTGAGATCCTGGAGACCCTGACCCAGTCCCATGTCAGGCTCCCTGCACAGAGCCTGCTTCTCCCTCTGCCTGTGTCTCTGCCTCTCTCTCTCTCTCTCTCTCTCTTTCTCTGTCATGAATAAATAAATAAAATCTTTAAAAAATAATAATAAGAAGAAATTGTTATTGATGTTAAGTCAATGGTCTTTTTTAAATTCTGCTAATATACACACAACACATTATTTATTATTTTTCAGTAGTCTTTTAATTAACATGTAATTTTATTTTCTTCAGTTCTGCTCATTTAACATTACCCTTTTTTGTTTATATATGGGATCATTTTCCTTCAGCCTCAAGAGCTTTAGTGGGGCTTCTGTAGGATCAGTCTGCTATTATGGAATTCTCTCGGCTTTTGGTTTGTTTGAAAATGTGTTTCTATTCTCCTTCAATTTGCATTATGTTTTCCCTGGGTTCAGAGTTGTCGCCATTTATTTTTCAGCACTTTAGAAATGCCAGCACACTCAGTGGTCTAGCGCCGCCTTCAGCCCAGGGTGTGATCCTGGAGGCCCGGGATTGAGTTCCACCTCGGGCTCCCTGCATGGAGCCTGATTCTCCCTCTGCCTGTGTCTCTGCCTCTCTTTCTCTCTGTGTGTGTCTCATGAATAAATACATAAAATTTAAAAAAAAAAAAAAAGATGCCAGCACATTGTCTTCATCCCTCAGTTGTTACTGTTACAGACATAGGTGTTATTTTTATTGTTCTCCTAAAAGAAATATGTTCTTTTCTCTTCTCTGTTTTTAAGATTTTGCCTTTTTGGTTTTCAGCAAAGCCTCAGTCTAGTTTTTCTTTTTATTTACTCTTGGTGTTTTTGTTTTGTTTTTTGAGCTTTTGAATGGAGAATTGATATTTTTTTCATCAATTTTGGAAACCTTTGAGCTATTCTTTCTTCAAATATTTCTCTTTTCTCTTTGTTAGTTTTGGAACTTTAATTAAACATACAATATCACTTGACTCTGCTCCACACATTTCCTGTAGTCTTTTTTATTTGCTGTTGGTATTTTCTACATTTATCTTTCTGCATTCATTTTGGATATTTCTACATCAGTCTTCTTCAGATTTAATATGTTTCTATTCTGCTATGTTTGTTTGGCTCTTAAGACGATCCAATGCATCCTTATTTAAGATATTTGTTTTGTAATTTTAGTATAACACCTGATTATTTCTTTAGGATATCTTTGTCTTTTTACTCATTTGATCTATTAAAAACAGCTGTTTTAAAGACCTTGGCTCTAACTCCAACATCTGGATCTGAGTGTCTGCTTCTATGAGCCATTTATATTTGTTTCATTTTTTGATCACTTTTTTTTGCTTATTTATGTGTTTAATTTTTTTATCCAAAGCCATATATTTCATATGAAATGTAATGATAGTGTTTATATTATTTACCTCCCATTGACTAGTGTTTGCTGTTTCTTGATCTAATCAAGAAGCGAACTCAGATGGGATTGGGTTGCACTTCTATTTTGAGTCAGTCTACTTCTGGTTTCAAAAGTTTCAAATAGAGACCTTCTGGGCTTTTTATCAAGAACCTGATTGCTGTCTTCTTCCTCCATCCCAGAATGCTCTGAGAGATTTATTCTGCTTCTCTGGTTTTTTGACCTCTGCTTTTAAATCTCACCCTGAGTGACTTTCAAATATGGCACTGTCTTGATGAGGACACAGTTGTATATTTGAAGCAGGATCTTTTTCTTATTGGAACTTTTACTATGAGACTCTGGGAACTTTCACTCTACTCTTAAGAAACTACTTAGGCTCCAGCAGAGCACCCTCATCCTTCAGGGTTTCAAATTTTTTCATGTTAGGCATACCTCCAAAAGTTTGTCTATTTCTTCTTTTCCTCATTAACATTCCTCCATTCAGGCAAAGCCTGATCTTCAATCCATACCTAGAGTTGGCAAAGGTACTACCAAGTAAGAAATGGCCAAAAACAATATGTTTGCATAAAACAGGCCCTTCCTGTTTAGTTCATTTAGTCCTTTCTCTTCTCACAATTTCCAGTTCCTTTAATACACACATACCACACACACACACACACACACACACACACACACACACGTTTGTCGTTCCAATTTGCAGTAGGAATGTATTTCTATTCCAACTTATTCCACTGTATTTGGAATGTTCCCACTCAGGTTTGTATCATCTTGCCATGCTTTATTTTTCTAAAGAGGATTTATCTACTTATAATTCATATTATATCTCTCTTTAATTGCTTATTTAATAACTAAGTTCCCTAGTCGAGTGGAAAAGAAATACTTGAGAACAAGTACCTTGTCTCTTTTAAAATTTATTGTTTTTTTCTTCAGAACTTAGAATAGTGCCTCGTAAGTATTTTCCAAATCAATGAATGAATAGTAGAATGCAGTGCAGCAGTTAAGAGTAATATATTATCAGGACGCCTGGATGACTCAGCGGTGAGTGTCTGCCCTTGGCTCAGAGGGAGATCCTGGTCCAGAGATCGAGTCCCATATCAAGCTCTCTGTGAGGAGCCTGTTTCTCCTTCTTTCTATGTCTCTCCTTCTGTGTGGGGGGGTGTCTCAAGAATAAAAAAATAAAATATTATTTAAAAAAGAAGAATATAGGGATGCCTGGGTGGCTCAGAGGTTAAGCGTCTGCCTTTGGCCCAGGGCCTGATCCTGGAGTCCTGGGATCGAGTCCCACATCGGGCTCCCTGCATGGAGCCTGCTTCTCTCTCTGCCTATGTCTCTGCTTCTCTCTGTGTGTGTCTCTCCTGAATAAATAAATAAAATCTTAAAAAAAAAAAAAAAAGAAAGAGAAGAATATAATACCTTACCCATACTCCCAGGCTAAGAGGTGAGGGGTAGCAAATGTTCCCTCATGTTCATTTTTTTTCCCTCATTTTCATTTTTAAACCTTCCATTGGTACCTAAATTTCAGCTGGCAGATTTTGCCAATAATCTCACCATTGATGACTATTGTGTATGTTGTCCTTGCATCCCCAAAGGATAAGTCACTTCTAGCTTTCTACACTGGATGCCTCTATTGCTCCATAATCTTCATGAAGTGGTATGCACTTGTAGCTTCTCAGTTTATTTTTACATCTAATGTAGTGATAAAATAATAAATTCAATCATTATCTTGATTAAAAAAAGAATAATAAAGAAATTATTTTTGTGGAAAACTTTTTTTTTTATTTTTTTTTATTTATTTATGATAGTTACATAGAATGAGAGAGAGAGGCAGAGACACAGGCAGAGGGAGAAGCAGGCTCCATGCACCGGGAGCCCGACGTGGGATTCGATCCCGGGTCTCCAGGATCGCGCCCTGGGCCAAAGTCAGGCGCCATACCGCTGCGCCACCCAGGGATCCCTGTGGAAAACTTTTTACGAAATTTTTGTAGATTCAGTTTCTGTAAGGTAAAAATTATATTTTATATATCTTGAGGCATACTTTTGGATGGACCTGTAACAGCATAGTATTTTTTAAAAAATTTTTTTTTATTTATTTATGATAGTCACACACACAGAGAGAGAGAGAGGCAGAGACACAGGCAGAGGAAGAAGCAGGCTCCATGCACTGGGAGTCCAACGTGGGATTCGATCCCGGGTCTCCAGGATCGCGCCCTGGGCCAAAGGCAGGCGCTAAACCGCTGCGCCACCCAGGGATCCCAGCATAGTATTTTTAAAAACAAAAATAACCTAAATATATTGTAAATTTAAATAAGCACTTTACACACTTACTTCGTTTTTATTGTTCATAGATTGTAAAGAACCTCCTCCAAGAAAAGAAACTCAAGTTTTGTCAGGTGCCTGGCTTCAACAAACATATCCAGAGGGTACTCAGGCTACATATAAATGCCGACCTGGATTTAGAACTCTTGGAGCTATTATAATGGAATGCAAGAATGGAGAATGGGTGGCTCTTAATCCATCAAGGATATGTCAGAGTAAGTAATTCATATGTTGTGAAATTTGTGAAAACTTTAGTTGTGAAATGCTGTTTGATATTGTAGCGATTTTAGCTGAATTATATCACAACTGTCATTTAAATACAAAATCACATACTATCATTATTCTTAATAAGGAGTTTAATCTTCTAAGATTAAAAAAACCCTACTATACAGATAAGTTTAATTATAAAATAATAACTGCCATTGTTCACTTTTGTACATCTTCATTCATGTCCTCTGATATAACATCAAATATCATTTTCCTCAAACTCTTACATAAAATGTGTTTCCTGTGATACATTCTAATATTGTATTATTTTTTTCATTTTAGGAAGGCCTTGTGGACATCCTGGAGATGCTTCTTTTGGTTCTTTTCATCTTGAAAGAGGAAATAAGTTTGAATATGGTGCAAAGGTTGTTTATACATGTAATGAGGGGTATGTAGTCAATATAAAAAGAAGTTTAGGGACACCTGGGTGGCTCAGCAGTTGAGGGTCTGCCTTCAGCTCAGGGCATGATCCTGGAGTTCTGGGATCAGGTCCCACACTGGGGTCCCTGCAGGGAGCCTGCTCCTCCCTCTGTCTATGTCTCTGCCTCTTTAGCTGTGTCTCTCGTGAAAAAACAAATAAAATATTTAAAAAAAAAAAGAAGTTTATAATTGGGAGAGTTGTAATTTAGGTAATAAATATGAACGGTACTAACTAGCATTCTTAAGGTTACTTTATTTTTCTATGAACTATTTATATTTTTTTATTTAAATTCAAGTTGCCAGCATATAGCATAACACCCAGTGCTCTGTGAGGATTTTTCTAAGTACAAGTGCCTGAAAAATTAAACCATAATGGAAATGATTATATTTGGATACCATATTATCTAAACACTGAAAAATTAAAATGAATTATATTTACTGTGGTAGAGTGTAGCTATAGGAGGGCTGGAAAATAGTATACATATAAATAAGGGCTTATTCCAACAAGTCCTGACTACGTTCTATTACATGCAGAGTATATAGGACAGTGGGAATGGTAACAAAATCAGATTGCATGGCACCTCCTTTCGTAAAAGCTTATAAAATTTAGGAGAAGCAAATATTTTACACTGAAATAATAATAACTACCATCCTTTAAGTTTCCATGGTATGCAAATTATTCTTATCACATGGACCAAAAATGCTACTACGTTCATAATCATTGATTCTTTGTTCTTTAGCCACCCACTAGATTTTTATAGCTAATCTTAATACTATGATACCTCCTCAGTGACATTTATTCCTATTATTCCCAGCCAGGTAAAAAAACTGTTTTGTTTTGTTTTTTTAAGATTTTATTTATTTATTCATGAGAGATGCAGAGAGAGAGAGGCAGAGACACAGGCAGAGGGAGAAGCAGGCTCCATGCGGGGAGCTTGACATGGGACTCGGTCCTGGGTCTCCAGGATCAGGCCCTGGGCTGAAGGCAACGCTAAACTGCTGAGCCACCCGGGCTGCCCCAAAAAAATTGTTTTGAAGAAAGTTTCATATCTGAGAAAACCAATATCATTATAATTTTATACTTCATAAGTATAAATAGGATCAAAAAATTACAAATTGGGAGCACCTAAGTGGGTGGCTAAGTGGGCGAAGCATCTGCCTTAGGCTCAGGTCATGATCCCAGGGTCCTGGATGGAGCCTCATGTTGGGCTCCCTGCTCAGCAGGGAGTCTGCTTCTCCCCTCTCTACTTCTCTCTGTCTTTCTCTCTCTCACTTGCTTTCTATCTCTCTTTCTCAAGTAAATAAATAAATAATCTTTTAAAAAATAAATTACAAATTGATTCTTATTATTCTTTTCTCATTTATTTCTTGATTTTAAGCAATAAAATATATTTTAAAGCTTAAGCTTTGGATAAACCTGCATCCCAAAACTCCACCACTCCATAACTATTATCATTTTAACAATTCTTCACTCTCATTTCCTCAATTATAAAAACAGAAACATAGCAGGTGCATCATAGAATTGGTGGAATAAATAAAAAAGACACACACTGAAGCCCTTTGAAGAATTCCTTAGACATTTACACCCAATAAGTCTTAGTTCTTATGAGGTTAGGCTCTGTTTGGCCACTACCTGAGGGAGATTTTTCAAAGACATTTTCAGCTCATCTGGGCCTAAACTTTCTAATTGCCTCTCCTCTGAAATATACCTTTCAATCCAGGCTAGTCTGGCCCCTTTAGGTTCCACATTTGACTTGGCAAAAGAGATCAAAACTCATAGACTCCTTCCACTTGATTCTCTAAATCTCAGTAGTAAACACTATTTATAATTTGGTGAAGAAATTTGCTACATACTTCACCTCTGACTCTGGCTATTCTTAATTCATCTTTGCTTCCTTATGCTTATATAAATTATGGGCAAACTCTGTTAGAGACTCTGTAAGAGTAACTATCTCCAGCATTCACCTTGGGCCTCCAACAAGGACTACGTATTCATCAATGAATTAAAAATCCTTGGACCTTGCAAAATAAACAAGCATCAGTATTTCATGCTATTTTAAAATTTTTAAGGGATTATTTTACCTATCTGAGGGAATGTAACTCTTTATTGACCCAGTTGTGGAATCCGTGTAGAATGGGTTTACTACACCCATGGTTCTGCCAGTCAACTGACCCGTTTCGATCCTTTGCCTCCACCCACCTTTTCTCTGCCTAATATCATTTTAGCTGAATACTAGCCGCTTATCAGGATATTCAATATGGATATTCAGTTTCAGTATCCTACATGTAGATAGTTTTATGGAAGCACTTTGCCAAAAGTTTTTCTGGCATTTTGCCTGGTTAGGGTTGCAGAAATATGAGCTGTTACTTTTCCCCAATCACCAACATTTAGATAATCTTTTTCTTCCTCCTCTCCCTACATATATGGGCCTTTGGTAGTTTTGTGTAGAATTTTGCAGAATTCCTGAAAAAGCTTTGGGGGAGCAAGTGGGTTTCTCATGTAGATGGAAAATGTTAACCAGGAAACCTACTTTCTCTGTTGGAATGGGATACAAGTAGAGGAGACAGAGAAGGAATTTTAGTAGCCAATTATAAAAAAAAAATAGCCATTTATTTTGTTCCTTTGTATGACATATAGAGTAAATGTTTGTCTTCAGGTTCTGTGACTCTCATTTAATCTATTGAATTTTTTTTTCCTTTAGAGAGTAAGGAACAAATCAGTAACATTCAAAGAAAGATAAGTATATTTTGAGGGAGAAAGTTTTTCCTTACTTGTTTAATGAATGAAACAATCCTTATTTGTAGAGCAAGGAAACATTTGTCTAGGGAGAATTATTTAGAAGTGTAGGAAAGTTTTGTTCTCAAAATTATCTCTCTTGTGGTTATCAAAATGCTGCCCATTATTTTGTTTTTGAGAAAAGGATTTTTCCTCTAGCTGTCCACTGTAACCTTAAGAAGGATGCTTTGACTTGACCTAAAGCCTCTGGTAATGATTGCACATTTTGCATCTGTCTGAAGGAACACTCACTCAAGTAGAGCATTCTAGATTTTAAGAATGGGCTTGATTAGTTACCACAGTTAGAAAATTTTGACATTGGATAGGTTATATAAGCAAACTGACTTGATGACTACACTCTGGAAAAATTAATTAAAAATAATAAAAAATTAAAAATAAACAATAAACCACATGCTAAGAAATTTGGACTAGTGCTATCCTTGATTATGTAAAAAGCCCAAAATGTTCCAAAAATATTATTGTGGAGGGTAGGAGTATGAAATAAGACTGGAGGAAGGTAACATATTATTAGCTCTTGGTTACTACCATGTTTTTGGTTTTTGGCTTTGGGTCAAGGAGGTTATAACATTGTTAAGTGTAACTAATTGACTCAATGAAAAGATAAAAAGGTATTGTGCACAAAATCATAATGAGTTTGTATTGTGAACCAAGGATTATGAGTATTCCAAGTCCACAGGCCTGAAGACTTGAGGGTCTTTCTTAAGTAAGAAAGAAAGAAATGGAAAGAAACAAAGAAAAGAGAATTTAAGAAAGGAGAAAGAAATTTAAGAAAGAAGAAAAAAAAGAAAGAAAGAAGAAAGAAAGAAAGAAAGAAAAGAAAGAAAGAAAGAAAGAAAGAAAGAAAGAAAGAAAGAAAAGAAAGAAAAAAAAGAAAGAGGAGGGAAGATGCAATAGAGGAAGGAAGGGAGGAAGGAAATGCATATGCTGCTAATTTTCTCTGAAATGGAGTTTCTGGGCATTCAGATGGTCTCAAAATTGCATATAAATACATATTAGCTCACGACTCTGTTATTTTTGGTTTTCAGGTATCAGTTAATAGGTAGGATTAATTTCCGTGAATGTGAACCAGATGGATGGACCAATGATATTCCTATATGTGAAGGTATATGTCAAATTGATTTACTAATATATTCAAATATTTAAAATATATAAGATTTTTTGAGATGTTTTACATTTAAATATCCTTAAAGTTTATAATTAAATATTTTTTACTCAGAGTGGCTTCTACTATAGTACAGAATGAATATCTAGACTTTTTATTACTACATTATTTTATGTTTCATTAACCAAATATGAATACAGTCTCATCTAATCTAATGTTCGAAGTATCAGAGATTAGGAAATCTAAAACCTATTTTCCTTTTCTTTTGGATTCTAACCACTAGAAAAAAAAAACACAAGTATCAGATTTTCAGCTTTATTAATGAAGTCATTTTCATTCAAGAACCACCCAAATGCAGGGATTTCCAGTAACATCTGAAGTGATGAACATGAGTTTGACATGTCTCCCCTCTTGTGTTGCAAGGGAGATTTTCTTGTGGTCTTAGTCTTACTGAAAAGAAGTTAGGAAGTTAGGAAGAGCTCTGCTTTTTCTTACTGATCCATAAAGCAAAGAGTAAGAATGAGAAAATATAGATCCTGTTTCCAAATATTGAGCTAATAATCCCAATCTCTAGTCCTCATGGAAATAAGAGATGAGTCAGAATAGCCTTTCCTAGTTTCATGCTGAGGAATAAGTAGAAGGGAAGAGGGAGGAGGAGGGAAGCAGGAAGGGAAAGAGAAGGAAGGAGGAGGAGGAGGCAGGAGGTAGAGGAGGAGGGTGAGGAAGGTGAGGAGGGGGGAAGGAAGAAGAAGAGGAGAAATGCAATCACTCAAAAATCCTGTTACCTAAAGAAGAGAATGAAAGATCTTTCATCTATGGAAATGAGGGGAAAGATCTAAATGCTTTAAGGAACATCTACAAAGGAATCACCTGAAGTGTTTATTTAATGCTGAAAATTTTGGTTATTGAAAACCTATTACATCAGTATCTCTCGGGTAATAGAGCAGGAAGATGGCCATAGAATTTCCATTTTAATTCTATCCTGAATGATTCTCCTATAAAATAAAGTTGAAATACCATAACCTAAGAAATACTGGAAAATATGAAGTAAAATCAAAGGGAGTACTCAGATTATTTTGAGCACTGACATGAGAGAGGAAGGAAAATTAAGGACTATTTGTCTGTTGAAGTAAATAGAATGTTTTCTGCAATACCTTTTAGGACTATAGTGTCATATTATTCTGGGGCTTAAGTGAACATTTTTATTTAATTATCCCAAGCTTTATATTTTTCAATCATTTATGAAACACTTGTTTGTTACTATAAAAAAGTAATTTTTTGTCATTCAAATAAATAATTTTCTTTGTCCACTTTCATAGAAAACAATGAGACATAAGCTTATTGTTGTTGTTGTTGTTTTAATTTACAAGCCTTTAAATCTGACAAACAGTTGGAATGATCAAAGTCACCTGGGTGGCTCAGTGGCTGAGCGTCTATCTTTGACTCAGGGGATGATCCCAGGGTCCTGGGATCGAGTCCCACATCAGGATCCCCACAAGGAGCCTGCTTCTCCTTCTGCCTGTGTCTCTGCCCTCTCTCTCTGTGTCTCTCAAGAATAAATAAATAAATAAATAAAATCTTTTTAAAAAATGGAGTTGTCAAATTCTAATAAGAAAAGTTATATTTATTTTTTCAGTTGTTAAGTGTTTACCAGTGACAGAACCAGAGAATGGAAGACTTGCCAGTATTGCATTGGAATCAGACCAAGAATATAGTTTTGGACACGTAGTACGATTTGAGTGTAATTCAGGTTTCATGCTTGATGGGCCTTCAGAAATCCATTGCTCAGCAAATGGTATTTGGAGTGCAGAACAACCGAGATGTGTGGGTAAGATATACTTACTGATCATGTGATTGAATGATTTTAGTTTTTCTCATGAAAATAGGCATTTTAAAATATTGTGCATCCCAAAGAGTATAATAGTAATAACTAACATTTATTCAGCACTTATTATTTGCCAGTTAGTTCATCCAAGTTCCTTACATGTGTCATTCCATTTAATCTTCAAAATGTCTGTGATTTATGCACTATTTTCCTCTCTCTTTTATAATCAAGGAAACTGTTGCAAAAAAAAAAGTTAAATCTTATGATCAAGGTTATCATGACATAAATGGTAGAGTTAAGATTCAAACCTAGATCATCTGAAACTGAAGTTCATGGTCTTAACCATGATTAAACTGTAATTGGCTTTCATGGCTCAAATAGTAAGCATTTCTGCTGCAAGTTTTAATATTGGCCTATAGAATAGGCTTTCTTTTCATTTGAAAAGTCAAAAATTCATTATTTATTTCCATGAATGATGATGACAATTCTGTTCTTGAATAATACTTCTAGAAAAGGGTCCTGTTTTATATATATACTGTAAGTTTAGATAAGTTTGTGGAAAGGAATTGCATCCACTAAATAAATTTTTGCCTTTAAAAAAAAATTCTATAGTAAACTGTAAGTTAAGATTTCTTTAGTTATAATACTACTAACCAGTACATCATGACCAGTCTGATGATTTAGGCTTTTGTCATGAAACCTTATGGTCAGTTTATTTAAAATGCCATACTTAATTTTACCTATACTTGTTCAGCAGAAATTTCTGCCATATTTGTTTTTTTAACTTTATCTAAAATCTCTTGATTATTTTCACTTTCTTAGTCTAGTCTAACCAAAAAGGAGATGCAGAGAAAAGCATCCCTCTCCTTAAAAGCTCTAACAGAACTAGTTCTTCAAGTCAGTAAATTGTAAACATTTATATTCAGCACAGCAAATACTGTATATTCTAGAGGTTCACAGATGGGGTTTCCTTCTTAAAAATAATTCCTGTGGTTAGCTAAACCTTCCTGGAGTAACTAATACATACAATACATTTTAAAGGAAGAATGAGACTTTTTCAAATGAAGTTGAGGAGGAGAAAAGCATACCAGTCACGGGAACACATGGAGAGGAAGGTACAAATACAGGGATGCTTCTGTAAGTGTGAGGCTCCTCTGTTCTCATGTCCTCTGGGGGTCCTCGTGTAGGATGCATGTAGGGGTAAGTCAGTGATGGGTTGAAGATAAGCCAGTACAAGGTTCTAAGGTGCTATATGTCATGCTGAAGAATTTGGCTTTTATTCAGACTGAATTGAGAATCAATGGAGAATTTTTAAATGGAGCAATGAAGGGACAAGAAAAAAGGCCATTAAGTTACCATCAGGAAAACAGATTAGAAAGATGGGAGAATTAGATTTGTTGCTATAACTCCAGGGGAAAATATTTGAGAGAAAATGAGGCCAAAGATAATGGCCAGTTTTTTTCCAACAGAAAATTTTGATGGGTAGTGATGCCGCAAAAGCAGATCAGTTAACTTTTCAGAGATGTAATGGCAATAGGTTAAATGAACTTCTTTGACAAAGTGTTTTGCCAACAATTACTGTTATCAATAACTAGAAAATAGTGTAATTTTGCAAGTCATTCAGTGAAAACACTTATCACAATAAGCCTATATAGCTATACTCAATTTTATATATACAGTTGATGAACATTACTGACTGCTGTTTATTTGAAAAGGACTAATTTATCTTCAAACCAAATAAAATTAACAACATCATTTTATTCAGAATTTTACCTTCCTTTAAAAATGAAAATTAAGAACAGCAGATATTATTCAAGCATTCAAGTCAACATAGAACTTTTGTTTGGTTGCCTGATTTACCTAATGGAAACAAAATTTGTGTCTTTAATATAAATATGTCTTGGATGAGGCCTTTCATATATAACAAACATCTTGGAACTTAATCTCTTATATTTAGAAATTTCCTGCCAAAAGCCAGAAATTATAAATGGATATCTTACTTTTGAGAAACAAACTTACAAGGAAAATGAACGACTTCATTATAAATGTCACAAGGGTTATGAATACAGTGAAAGAGGAGATACTGTATGTACTAAACTTGGATGGATTCCAAGTCCTTCATGTAAAGGTAATGTTATATTTCTTTTCTATATATTTTGCTGCATATTTTATAAATTGTTTTCATTCATATACTCCCTACAGTTAAGTAGTTTTTTTTTCTCAAAATGGAGTATTAATATTTATAGGAGTCAACTATTGTAAAGATAATATACTTAACATTTTGTATGCAAGGCCCAAAAAGCAAGTCTAGAGCAGAGCCACGGCTATAACAGGCTTCTTAATTCCCAGGTATATACCTTGCTCAGGTTGCTTTTGTAAAGCCCAGCATTTAGCTTAAAAAAGTAAATTATATTAACACCAGATAAGGAAGCTCTCAGCTGACAATGGAATTAACTGGAGATTTCATTAATCCACAGGCCTAATATGAATCAATGGTGATGATAATGCTGGGGAAAAAACAAAACAAAACAAAAACACCTCTTTTAGGCTTCATAGTTGAAGGATTTTGTTGTGCAGAGCAAGAATCCATCCCAACTGTGTTTGGTGCCCACCAAAAGTTATGTCTGGGATATTGTGTTCTACTTAGCTTACCTCATTTTAAAAGAGTTGGGTCTCAAACTATCATGGCCTAGAAGAGAAAATGTAGATAGTTGAGTTTAGGAAATCATATTAGAAGAATAGCAAGAAGATACAGTTATAACACAGTAACAACTGTGTTGAGATTTGCAGACATTTATTAGAAAAGAGTAAGTCGTCTTCTGATGAGGGCTGCAGCAGTGTATGAAACAAATAATAAGTGCTATGAAATCAGAAGTCAAGTGCCCTTCTAAAAAGGTAAGTTTTATACAGATACTGTCATACGGTGGGCCCGGGTAGGTGGGGAGATGGTGAGAGGAGTTAAACTCTTAAGAGCCCTTTGAACTTTTAATCGTATGATTCATAATTACATGCATAAACCTTGTTTAATGAGCCTCTTTTATAAAAACTAGAGTTAGCTTTTGAGTCAATTTTATTTTTTTTTAATTGGTTTTATTTGACTTTTTTTGTTTTAAGTAAGCTCTCCACACAACATACGGTTTCAAATCACAACCCTGAGATCAAGAGTCACATGCTCTACTGACTAAGCCAGCCAGGCACCACCACCACCCCCTAAAAAAATAGATAGATAGATAGATAGATAGATAGATAGATAGATAGATAGATAGATAGATAGAGTCTACACAAACAGCTCCTTGGAAAATATATCCTCAGGCATTATTAAGAAAATATTTTAGAAAGAGGTTAATGAACACAAAACAATGATCACTCAAATTAGATCCCTGTTCAGCTGATGGTGTGTGGAATCTAGCTGTTTGTCTTCATGACATTCATGGTTCGTACACAAAGAACATGGGTGCACAAGTCCCCTGGCCTTAACTTCTGCCATATGTTTTACTTCCAGAGCCCCACTCAAAATATTTGGATAAATTATCCATCCAGTCATCAAAATATAGACCAATTATTTTATATCAGTCCCCTTGTCCTGTATAAACGTTAGAATAAATCATCATTCCAGGTTTCAATGAAGTTACTTACTTCAAAGTAAGACCTCAGAATCTGAATCCATTTTTTCTTCAACATAAGTTACAGGGTTTTTTTCCTATTTATGCTCATTCCAATGTAGTTCTGAAGGGACCCTACTCATTATATTAACTGTAAGAATCAAGGGATAGAGACATCATCTTTTCATGGCTTTTCCTTAATCAGCTATGGAAAAGGGAACATAAATCACACAATAGCTTTTCAAACTTCCTCCTTTAAGGGAAACATGTTACTTTACACTCATTTTATTGTCCTATGCAAGTCATAGGGTCATGTCTACTTCAAATGAATAGTGATATGCAATCCTTCTAACCATCTGGAAGGAAGAGACTTGCAATATTTGTAAACAGTCCTGATGAGAACCATAGATGCCAAGGAAGTTGAAGAATAGTTGGAAAAAATAGTCAAAGTGATATGTCATGAATTTATTACCACATATGGAATATGATGATGTATGTAATGGCTTTGGAGAAAGGAGATTCAAGAGTGCAGGGGGCACAGATACATCAGATGAGAGATATAGTGGTGGGACATGAGTGATATATGGTGGGAAGGATCTCAGACTATACTCATTTTAATCCCATTTTGTGCTGTGATAGGGACAAAAAAATAATATCCACTTCCTTTATTTTTATGTACTTGATTATTTTAATGGGTAGTTATTTCTAAGTTATCTACATGTCCTTTTTTGTTTTTTGTTTTTTCAGAAGCACTATGTCCTCCTCCTAATATTCGAAATGGTGACTACACACCTAAAGCCACCAAATACAGAAGTGGAGATGCAATCACATATCATTGTAAAAGTGGCTTTTTTTCAACGATCTATGGAAATAAGGCAACATGTACTGATGTAGGCTGGGTACCTCTGCCAAGATGTAGTTGTAAGTTCCAATCATATCTTGACCTACTTCTTATTCTGAAATTGCTGTCTTTAAGACCCTTACAAAAGATCCTATCATCAGAATAAAACAGACTTTGATGTGTTAAACAATTATAATGAAAGGATTGATTAATTGAGATATAATTGACATAACTAAGATATAATCTTAGTTTTGGCTGTACAACACAATTTGATATTTGTATATCCTTTGAAATAATTATAAACACAATTCTACTTAAATTCATCACCATACATAGTTACAAATTTTTTTCCTTGTGGAAAAACTTTAAAGATTTACTCTTTAACAGCTTTCAAATATACAATGTGGTATTAATAACTAGAGTTACCATGCTATACATTACATCCCTGTAATTAAATTATTTTATTATTGGAAGTTTGTACCTTTTGACCTTTGCCCATTTCTCTCACCCTCCATGCCCTGCCTCCAACAACCACCAATCTGTTCTCCTTATCTAAGAGCGTGGTATTTTCAGATTCCAAATATAGCTCGTATGTTATTCGTCTTTGTCTGATATACTTCACATAGTATAGTGCCCTCAAATCCATCCATGGCATCACAAATGGCAATATTTCCTTCTTTTTTTTTTAATTTTTATTTATTTATGATAGTCACAAAGAGAGAGAGAGGCAGAGACATAGGCAGAGGGAGAAGCAGGCTCCATGCCCCGGGAGCCCGATGTGGGATTCGATCCTGGGTCTCCAGGATCGCGCCCTGGGCCAAAGGCAGGCACCAAACCGCTGCGCCACCCAGGGATCCCTATTTCCTTCTTTTTTTTTTTGGCTGAATAGTATATATACTTTTTTTCCTTATGCATTCTTCCAACAATGGACATTTAGATTGTGTCTACAGCCTGGCTATTGTAAATAATGCTGCAGTGAACATGGGGTACGTATATCTTTTCCAGCTAGTGTTTTCCTCAAATAAATACCTGGAAGTGGAATTGCTGGATTATATGGTAGTTCTATTAATTATTTGAGAAATCATACTGTTCCACACTGGCTGCACCAATCTACAACCCCACTAAAAATGAAGAAAGTTTCCCTTTCCTCTACAACCTCACCAGCACTTGTTACTTTTTTCTTTTTGATGACAGCCATTTTAACAAGTGTGAAGTAATATTGTGGTTTCAATTTTCATTTCTCTGCTGAAAAGTGAAGTTGAGAATCTTTTTTATGCCTGTTGGCCAATTCGTATTTCTTCTTTAAAAAATGTCTATCCAGATCCTCTGCCCATGTTTTATTCAGATTGGGCTTTTTGATGTTATTGAATTGTATGAGTTTTTATTTTTTTCCACCTTCCTACCTTGTTAGCAGTGAAACCCTTTCTCTGTAGCATTCCAGGTGTTCTCTCTTTAAATCTCAGGTTGAATTCTTAGGTTTTCAGGATGGTTTGAAAGTTATCTAGGTAAGTTGGGGGGCCAGGTGAGGTGAGGACCCTTCTCCTCCACCATCTTGCCCCACCTCCTCGAATTGTATGAGTTTTTAAATATATTTGGGATATTTACCCCTTATTGGTTATATGATTTGCAAATATTTTCTCCTATTCAGTAGGTTGCTTTTTCTGTCTGTTGATGGTTTCCTTTGTTATGCAGAAATTTATAGTTTAATGCATCCCCACTTGTATAGTTTTGCCTATGCTGCCTTTGCTTTGTGTCAAATCTAAAAAACAATTACCAAGATCAATGTCAAAGGAACTTATCCCTTATGTTTTCTTCTAGAAGTTTTATGGTTTCAGGTCTTACATTCAAGTCCTTTTGTGTTAGTTTTGGTATATGGGGTAAGTGGTGGGTCAAATCATTCTTTTGCATCTTGCTCAATGCCATTTATTGAAGAGACTATCCTCTCCCCACTGTATATTTTTGGCTTCTTTGTCATTATCTGACCTTATATGTGTGAGTTTATTTCTAGCTCTTTATTCTGTTCTTATTATTCTATGTGTCTGTTATTATGCCAAGGCCATAGTTTTGGTTACTCTAGCTTTGTAACATAGTTTGAAACCAAGAAATATGATGCCTCCAGGTTTGTTCTTTCCCAAGATTTTTTTTTTTTTTTTTTTTTTTTTGGCTATTTGGACCCTTTCATGGTTCCAAGCAAATTTTAGGATTCTATTTCTGTGAAAAATACCATTGGATTTTTGATAGGAATTGCATTGAAACTATAGATTACTATGAGTGGTAAGGATATTTTAACAATAGTAACTCTTCCAATCTCTGAACATGGACTATCTTTCATTTATTTTATCATTGTCTTGTAGTTTTCAGGGTGCAGATCTTTTACCTCCTTGGAAAGATTTATTCCTAGATATTTTATACTTTTTGATGCTATTGTAAATGGGACTGTTTTCTTAATTTTTCTTCCTGATAGTTTATGATCAGTGCATAGAAACACAGCAGATTTTTGTACATTGATTTTGTATCCTGCAACTTCAAATTCAGTCATCAATTCAAACAAGTTTTGGTGGAGTTTTTAGGGTTTTCTGTGTATAATATCACATCATCTGAAAAGAGTATAAGTTTTACTTCTTCCTTTCTAAGTGGATGCCTTTTAATTCTTTTTCTTGCCTAATAACTCTAGGCAGGACCTCTAATACTATGTTCAATAAAAGTCGTGGGATTAAGCATTCTTATCTTGTTCCTGGTCTTAGAGGAAAAGCTTTTCACTATTGAATATAAAGTTGGTGTGAGTTGGTCATATACAGACTTTATTACAATGAGGTATGTTCCCTCTACACCCACTTTGTTGAGAGTTTCATCATAAAAGATGTTGAATGTTATCAAATGCTTTTTGTGCACCTATTGAGATGATCATATGATTTTTTAAAAAGATTTTATTATTTATTTTATTATTTTTTTTTAAAGATTGTGTTTATTCATGAGAGACACAGAGAGAGAGGCAGAGACACAGGCAGAGGGAGAAGCAGGCTGCATGCAGGAAGTCTGAGGTGGAACTCTGATCCTGGGGTCCCCAGGATCAAGCCCTAGGCTGAAGGCGGCGCTAAACCGATGAGCCACCCGGGCTGCCTGATCATATGATTTTTAACCTTTATTTTCTTAATTAGTGTATCACATTTATTTGGGATGTGGAACCATCCTTGCATCCCTGGAATGAATCTTACTTGGTCAAAGTGTATTATCCTTTTGATGTATTGTTGAAATCATTTTGCAAATATTTTGTTGAAGATTTTTACATGTATTTTTTCAGGTATTGGTCTGTAATTTTCTTTTCTTATAGTATCCTTCTCTGGTTTGGGTAGCAGGGTAACACTGGCCTCAAAAAATGACTTCGGAAAAAAAAAGATGACTTTGGGGCAGCCCAGGTGGCTCAGCGGTTTAGCTCCGCCTTCAGCCCAAGGTGTGATCCTGGAGACCCGGAATTGAGTCCCATATCAGGCTCCCTGCCCGGGACCTCCTTCTCCCTCTGCCTGTGTCTCCGCCTCTCTCTCTCTATGTATCTCATGAATAAATAAATAAAATCTTTTAAAAAATGACTTCAGAAGTGTTCCACCAGTGAAGCCATCTGATCTTGGGACTTTTGTTTGTTAGGGGGTTTTTGATCCCTGATTTAGTCTCCTTACTAGTAATTAGTCTTTAGGATTTTCTGTTTCTTCATGACTCAGTTTTAGTAGGTTGTATGTTTCTAGGCGTTTATCCATTCTTCTATGTTGTACAATTTATTGGTGTATAATTGTGCATAGTAGTCTCTTTTGAGCCTTTATATTTCCCTGGCATCAGTTGTATGTCTCCTTTTTCATTTCTGATTATGTGTGTGTGTGTGTGTGTGTGTGTGTGTGTGTGTGTGTGTATTTTTTTCTTAGTGAATCTAGTTAAAGGCTTGTCAATTTTGTTTTTATCTGGGGACCCCTGGGTGGCTCAGTGGTTTAGTGCCTGCCTTGGCCTAGGCGTGGTCCTGGAGTTCTGGGATCGAGTCCAACATCAGGCTCCCTGCATGGAGCCTGCTTCTCCCTCTGCCTGTGTCTCTGCCTCTCTCTCTCTCATGAATAAATAAAATCTTTTTTTAATGGTTTTTATCTTTTCAGAATTCTGCTTTTAGTTTTATCCTTTTTATTGATAGTTCTATTGATATTTTCTATTTTTTAAGCTTTTATTTTGCTTATTTCCACTCTGATATTTGTCAGTTACTATCTTCTATTTACTTTAGACATTGTTTGTTCTTCATTTTCTAGCTCCTGGAGGTGTAAAGTTGGTTCATTTGAGATTTCTTGCTTCTTGATGTAAGCAAGTTCTATGAGTTTCCCTCATAGAACTGCTTTTGGTCATCCTATAAGTTTTGCTATGTTGTATTTCCATTTTCATTTGCCTATAGGTATTTTTGATCCTCTTTTTAAAAATTTGACCCACCTGTTGTTCAATAACATGTTGTTTAATCTTCATGTATTTGTGGATTCTCAGTTTTCTTATAATTAATTTACTAGTTTCATACCATGTGGTCAAAAAAGATACTTGATATTTTAATCTTTTTAATAGTATTAAGACTTGTTTTGTAGTGTAACATATGTCCATCCTAAGAACGTTCCATGTGTACTTAATAAGAGTTTGTATTCTGATAGTTTTAGATGGATATTCTGTGTATGCCTGTTAAGTCCATCTGGTCAAAAATGTCACTGTATGTCAGTGTCTCCTTGTTGATTTTCTTTTTTTTTTTTTAAGATTTTATTTATTTATTCATGAGAGAGAGAGGCAGAGACACAGGCAGAGGGAGAAGCAGGCTCCATGCAGGGAGCCCGACTTGGGACTCAATCCCGGCCCCCTGGATCACACCCCAGGCTGAAGGCTGTGTTAAACCTCCGGGCCACCGGGGCTGCCCTCCTTGTTGATTTTCTGTCTGAATGATCTGTCCATTGATGAAAGTGGGAGTATTAATTATTGTATCACTGTCTATTTCTCCCTTTATTTCTGTTAATATTTGCTTTACATTTTGGGTGCTCCTATGTTGGCTGCTTCAAATTTACAAGTATTTTAT